TCCACCTGAGCGACTTCAGAACAGCTTTTTTTTTTTTTTTTTTTTTGGACAGGCAGAGTTAGACAGTGAGAGAGACAGAGAGAAAGGTCTTCTTTTTCCATTGGTTCATCCCCAAATGGCCGCTACAGCCAGTGTGCTATGCCAATCCGAAGCCAGGAACCAGGTGCTTCCTCCTAGTCTCCCATGTGGGTGCAGGGACCCAAGGACCTGGGCCATCCTCCACTGCCTTCCCAGGCCACAGCAGAGAGCTGGACTGGAAGAGGAGCAAGCGGGACTAGAACCAGCACCCCAACCAGGACTAGAACCTGGGGTGCCGGCGCCACCGGCCTGAACAGCCATCTTTACACATCTGGTACTGCTGTTGGGCTGGCCCTATCATCAAGGACGGTACGCATTTCCCTGTCCTGTGAGAAGAGCGTCGGCCAGTCTGTTTGCTTAGCTATATGTATATTTTTGGTTCCCAAAGCGTTTCCTTTTATTTAGGTTAAAAAAAAAAAGTACTTGACTGCATCTATGGGAATGTCAGACTCTGCAGAACAGGATGTGGCATGGTATGAACACAGGGTAAGCAGCTATTGTCCCTGGTGCTGATTGCTATGGGGCCCGTTAACAGGGAGGTGCCCCTTTAGATCTCACGACCCCCTACTGGGTTGGAAGCCAAGGAAGGGCTGGGGAGTGGGCTCCCACTCTGACAAGGCCCTTTTGAGGCCGACATCCAATTTTAGATTCAGGAGGAAAGACTGGGGCTGGACCCCTGGGGAGGCTTTTTGGGAAATAAAGCTAAGGATGGCACTGATGCTCTGTATGGAGTCGCTCTTAGCTGTCTCTGAGAGGCTAGAACGTGCTAGAATATCAGCAAGGCACTCACGTATCAACTCATTCAGTCTTCAAGACAATTTCAGGCAGTAGGCATTTATTATTATTCGTCTCATTGTGCAGAGAAGGAAACTGAGGCAGAGAGAGGGTAATCAAGTTGTCTACACCCAGCCGGCGAGTTAGTGTCTACCCTCACTCACTACCGGCCTTCCTATGCCCTTGGCAGTCTCTAAACTAAACTTCAGGTATTTTCCAGGCAGTAGAAGGAACGCTCAAAAGTTAAAACTTTTTCGAAAAAAATACTGCAAGCTGCTGTTTATTTCCCTTAGTGACTAGTTAAGCTGAGAAACCTCTGTAGATCTGGATCCTTGTTCTGTGTGCCGTCTGTCCCTTGCCTGTAGAAGAAAGATGATGTGCAGATGGCCATGGTCAATATTTCACAGCAGTTACGTACAAGTCACTTCCTCGACTTTGCAATCCTGAGGGCTAACATTAGGTTCCAGACTCTGAGAGTTAGTTGTCTTCACATCTATGAAAGAAACGGGCCCTTTGCAGCTAAGAGGCATCAAACAGACTCAGACCAGTCCTTGAGAAAGAAAGTTCATCAGGAAAAGAGAAGCATCTAGAAACCCAGATGACAGACAAAATCCTAATCATGTTGCTCATACACATGGCAGCACCCTGCCAGGCTCCTGCAAGACAGTGGCCCAGGCACAGTCCTACCTGCCTCCTCTGCAGTAAGCCTCTGGCTGCCCAGTGGAAAACTGCAGCCTTTGAGGAACATTCTAAGTCAGGCGCCCCAGTCCCTTCCGTGTACAGCTGATGGTGACTGAAGTCGACTCTGGAGACCACAAGCACTGGAACTGGAATGTCGGGGAGGAATTCTGCCCCGTGTTGGAAAGGCAGGCTGTGCTGTGTTGCTTTGATGTCTGTCCTTGTTCCAAAACACCCTTAGTACCAGTCTATGAGGGGACTTCAAAAGGCTCATGGAAAAAGGAGCTGTAAGTTTATTTTGGTGAAAAAACATTTTGAAAGCCATGGATAGTTTTTCTATAACACACACTTTCCACAAGCTTTCTGAAGACTCAGAACAGTCACATTTCTCCAGACGCCGTGCGGCTCCCCACACCCCTAGGCGACACAAGCTTCAAGTTATCTCGTGTTCCCCTAACCATCCCTTTTCTTCCCATTTATTCTCATTTCTCTCAGGCTATGAAAGGAGGGCTACCCCCATGTGCTTACTTGAACTGGAAAAAACCCAATTGCCCCGTGATACTGCTGCTAACCCTGTCCTAAGGGCTTTGTGGACATAACTCATCTAAAGTTCAGGATCATCCCAGGAGGCAGGTGCTACCATGATCCCCGCTACAAAGATGAGGAAGCCAAGGTACAGAGTAGCTATGGCCATGCCGTGTAAGCACGGAGAGGGTCAGCACGGCCATGTTCTTGATAACCTGTCTATCCTCACTGGTGCCCACGCCATTTCACTCCAATAAAATATATCAAAAGTCCACCTTCTGACTTTGGGTCACACAGAGTTCTGGAACTCCTGTACCCCTCTGAATGGTACAGATGGAGTCCCAGGCTCCTGGCTTTGGTTCAGCCCAGCCCCAGCCACTAAGGGCCTTTGGGAAGTAAACCAGGGAACAGACAGAAGACCTTTTCCCTCTGTCTCTCTGCCTTTCAAATACAATGAAAACAAATTTAAAAAAAATTTAAAACCTGGGAAATCGTGGCAGGGATGGGGAGGCAGTTCTGGGGCACTCTGCCGCCAGCAAAGGGCATGGACTCCAGCTAATGGCCTTGGCGGCAGCTATGCTGACTCAGTACAAACGTTTCCCGTTCTTTCAGGTGTTTGAGCCCTGGGCAGTTCCCAGGGCCTGCTGGACACCTGAGGTGTTTACTGGCACAGTGTCATTTCATGTACCTGCTCACAGGCATAAAGGGCCGGGCATTGCCTTAGCCAAAAAGCACGACTAGAGTCGCAGGAAGTTGGCATCTGTGAGGTTTTATTGAAGGAAGCGATTTATAACTGTTGTCCCTGAGACTCCTCAGACCCGGGGAACCTTGCCAGGCTGCTCTGCACCGTTTCCTCTCGCAAGCTGCTCTGCAGGAGGCCTACCCTGAACAGGGACACGCACACTTTCCTTAAGGGGCTCAGTCACAGCCCCTGGTTAGAGAAGTGGGCAACTGCCCTAACCCAGTCTCGTGCCTAGCGCCCCTTTGGGTCCAGAGCAAATAGTTCTGAGACAGCCACACCAGCCCAGTACTGTGACATCATCACTAGGACACACTGACTTGGGAAGACAGAGTAGGAGAAACCGAGCCTTGAACCTTGCGGGAGGAGACCCTCAGTTCTTCTGAGTCACTCCATGACCTTGAGCAAATCACTTAATCTCTCCACATGTCAGTTTGCTCAATCATAAAATAGGATCATACCACCTGCTACACCTTTATCTATGAGCTGCGGAGCTGAGGTTGGCTGCGGGAAGTGTTAAGAAACACTACCTACCCTCAACAAGCCACCACAAAGGTTTTCTTAGCCTTCCCAGGCAGGTGCGCAGGCCAAGTCACTGAAAAGTGGGCCCTATGCTCAACACTAAGTGGTGACGCTGGATCACCCCCTGCGGAAGCAGGAGCTGCAGGGGCTTGCATCTAAAAGCTGATCAGGAACCGAGAAGTCCCAGCTGGGCTGCTGGTAACAAGGAAGCCACCCACCTCAGCACCTGCTCCCCTGGGTTTTGACCTTCTTTTGGAGATGCAATATTAGTGACTTTCCTTATGGGGTATCACCAGCAGCACAGAGCTTAATATGTACCCTTTCTCCCAGGGCCACAGATCCCAGCCAAAAAAAAAAAAAAAAAAAAAAAAATCCTTTAACCCCATAATTGCCTTCCTTCCCTGCAAAAGCTGACGGATATGCCAGAGGGAATAAGCCAAAGGTGCTCTCAGTGTTAGCACACCCCTGTCAGCATACATCTAAAGGTCACTCTCCAGAGGCGGCGTCTGGCCTGCAGTTCAGATGCTGGCATCTCCTTCCCACCAGAGCGCCTGCCTCTGGCTCCTGACTCCAGCTTCCTGCCCCTGCGGACCCTGGGAGGCAGCGGTGATGGCTCCCTGCCACCCATGTGGGAGACTTGGATTGAGTTCCCAGCTTCTGCCTAGCCCGGCCCAGTCCAGTCCCGGTCACTGCCAGCATTTGGGGAGTGAACCAGTAGTTGAACTTTAAAAGTCTCCCCATGGGAGACCAGGAGAAGCACCTGGCTCCTGCCATCAGATCAGCGCGGTGTGCTGGCCGCAGCGCGCCGGCGGTGGCCATTGGAGGGTGAACCAACGGCAAAAGGAAGACCTTTCTCTCTGTCTCTCTCTCTCACTGTCCACTCTGCCTGTCAAAAAAAAAAAAAAAAAAAAAAAAAAAAACAACCAACTCCCTAAACTCCAACTATCAAGCTGCCAGACAGGGAACAAAAGCTGCAGTGCCATCACATTCAAGAACTTTTAGTCCTCATCAGTGTTTTCCCCCTTATAAGTGGCCTGGATTGTTACTGCTGCTGCTATTGCTTTAAGCAAACAGTCTCTCCCTTAAGAGACAGACAGGCATCACATTTTCCAAAGGGAGAAATGCAAACAGCAGGAAAGCAATCACTTTGCCCAAGGTTAGCCGCTTTTCACAGCCTCAGCAATGAGGAGCTTTGCCTCAGTGACTCAAGACAAAACATACCTCGGAGGCCCGGAATCCACAGTTAGCAGAAACCTGGAGGAGGAGCCAGCTGGACGCCTCACTCAGCTGAAGGGGTTGCATCAGCCAAGGGAGGACTCCCCCATCTGAGAACCTCAGGCTAATGGAGAAGCCAGGAGAGGCTGAGCTCCTGGCAACTACACATCATCAGCTCAAGGGCTGAGAGGAAACTTCTAAAAGTCACAAAAAGCAGGCAAACCAAGTGAAGATGCGTCTCTCCCTCTCCTCTAGCTCTCACGCCTTCCCACAAAGCAAATCCTTTGAAAGCCGCAATCCTCTGCCAGGGGTCCTGACTGGGGTGGACAGCAACCTGCTCCAAGGTCCCAGGAGAGGTAACGGCTTCCCACCCTCACCTTGGGTCCACTGACAGCTCAGGAGATGCAGATCTTTGGCGCTGCAGCAGCAGGCCATGGGTTGCAAGTGGGATGGCCCAACAGGTAAAATTTAACCAGTGTTCCTAGAGACTTTGGGCCACGGTGGGGAGAGGTAATTGGGATGAAGACACGAGCGTGGTGGAGACATTTCTACCGGCGCACGCAGCCTGAGAGTAAGTATAAGGACTGAAGTTAAGGCGGGAGCTGCCGTGCCTCACACACACACCGAACGGCAGGCCTGGTTCTTGTTAGAAGATGTAGCCCGCTGCAGGATCGCCCCGCGCGCCTCGGCAGTCCGTACCGGCGCAGGCAGAAGGCGGACTTCGGGCGGTATCTGGATGTTTTTAACAGCCTTAAAGGCCACCAGTAGCCGATTAAGGGCTAATTCTTAGGAGAATAGGAGAGTATGAGTGTGTGTGTGGGGGGGGGGGGGACTGGAGGTCGTTGGAGAGCTGGTGCCTCCCTCCCACTGCACCCCCCGCGAGGAGAGCATTACCTGGCCAGGTCGAGGAAAGAGTCCACCGTCTCTTTGGGGACCGGTGGAGGACCCGAGTCCTCCAGCCCCAGGTCGCTGGTCTGCAGGGTTTGCGCACCGGCTCCGGGCTTGATGATGAACGCCAAGGCGACGGCGAGCGCCGAGGCACCCAGCGTGGTGAGGCCAAAGTAGGCTATGGCGATACCGCCCAGACGCCCGAGCGAGCTGGCGTCGAGCGAGGCGGCGCCCGACACCAGGCTGCAGACCACCAAGGGCAGGATGATCATGCGCAGCATGCGGAGCAGCATCTCGCCGGGGAAGGCCAGGTAGATGATCTGCGTGCGGGTCAGCTGCACCCCGCGTAGCGCCGCGCCCAGCCCCGCGCCCGCCAGCACCCCGGACACGGTGAGCAGCACCAGCGCATGGCGCCGCAGGAAGCCGGCGCGGCCCCCGGAGCGCCCCACCACCGTTTCCTGCGCGCCGGGCTCCGCCGCAGGCCCCCTCTGGGCGCTGTCGAGGTAGCCGTTGGTCTCTCTGCCCTTCTCCATGGCGCTGCCCGGCGTCCGGGCCGGCGGCGGCAGGGAACTGGGGCTCTGGGAGAAGACGCGGTTCCCAATGAATGGATCCGGCGGAGCTTGGCAGGGTCTGCCGGCTGTGCCCCGCAGGTTCTGGGAGCCAGCCCCGGGGCGGGGTGGGTGGGTGGGTGGGTGTCTCCGGGCTAGGGCGGGCGCAGGTGCGGAAGAGCGAGGAGAGGTGTGAGACAGCGGGCAGTTGCTCCGGTAAGAGCGGATCGCGCCGCGCCCAGCCTCCCCAGGGCAGCCGCGGGCTGGAGATGATGCAACGCGCGAGGCGCGAGCGAGGACGCAGACCGCCGGCGAGGGAGGGCTCGGGGCGCGGCCGGCCCGCCCCGCCCCCCGGCCCGTCGGCCAATCAGAGCCTGGCCGCTGCCCGTCGCCGCGGGGGAGGGGCGGCCCGCGGGGGCGCGGGCAGGGCTACGCGATACCCGCGCGTTCGGCTGCCTTGCGGGCACTGGGAGAACAACCCAGAGTCGCTGGCGCTCGCTGGGCCTCTTCCAGCCGGCGGGGTTTCGGACTTCCGTGGTGGAAGGCCTAGAGAATGTGGAAGGTCGCAGAGGCCCTTCTCCGGGGGACTGGGCGAGCAAGAGGGTCCCCCTGCGGGGTCCTGCGAGCGCTTTTGCTGGGCTCTCCGGCGAGGACGCCGGGGGCCCTCCCCCTGCTACCCGAAATCCTTTCCTGGACGCGTGGTAACCAGCGTAGGCCCGGGCCTTGGAACAAAGCGTGGCGGGTGCACGCAAGGACTGACGGAGGGTTGGGGGGACCGCACCCGCCCGTTTAGGGTTCTAGGTTTTCCCATAAGTGAGAGGGGACTCTCCATGGCACCAAACCCGGAGCCCGGGCCTCCGCAGCGTGCCCCGGGGCGCTCGCCCGGCCCGGTCCTGGGTCGCCTGCGGGGTGCGGTGGGAAGACACCCGAGGGAGGTGCTGCTCTCAAGCCACTGCTGCCACTCCAGTCGCTTCTCTGCCGCCTGGCCGCAACAGAAACGCACCAGCCTCTGCGTTTTAACCTCTTAGATCCCCGGCCCAGCCCTGGCACAGTTGGGCCGCCCTGAAACATGGCTCCTGGCTCATTTTGTGTCGTTTTTTTGTCGAACATGTGTCCTGAACTCGCCAGATTCGAGGGAAACTTCTGCAGAGTTGTGTGACGGTGTCCCATTTAGTTGATTGTTCTCTTTTTCTCATTCTACTTTTGAGTGGAAGGGTCTTCTAAGAAGAGTTCTCTGGGATGGACCCCTGAAGGAGCCGCGGCTTCCTGGGAGATTTCTCGCTGAAAAAGCCCTCTCAAAACGGGTCACAGCAGATACATAGGAACCCTGAGAAGCTGTCCGGAATTTGAGACGGGGAGGGTTTTATCACTTGAATCCAGTCACTTACTGGCTGGAGCTTGTTTTAGGGCTTTTTGGAGAGTGAGGAGATCTTGACAGTTGAGCTCCTGGTATTTTTTTTTAATCGGATTTTCCAGAACGCAGTGTGTTTCTGTGTGCACTGGAGAAAGAGTGAGTCCCTGTAGATGCAGGCTCTGGTTTGCCAGTCAGCCCTTCCCTTTGCTTTTACAGCCACCGTCGTGCAAAAGATGATCCAGTTATGCCCCCAGAAAGGACTGTCCAGCTCCTGCCTCACCCCCGCACCTGGGTAACCAGCAGGCATCCCCACTCAGCATGGCCAAGGCCAAGCTCCTGATTGCTCCCCAGCCTGCCCCTCCTTCTGACCCCTGCTTCTGGTAGCAGCAGCACTGCTGGCCCAGTCACATCTGGGAGACTTCAGAGTGACCTTTGATTCTTCCTCTCTGGTGTCGCATTTGATCAGCCGCCAAGTTCCACGGGCTCTGCTTTTGCAATCTTTGCCACATCCATGCCTCCGTGCCATTCCTGCTGCTACCACATTGGCCCAGTACTCATTTCTCTTCTTATCTGGGCTATCGAAATGTTCTCCTAATTAGTCTTCCCACCTCCAGAGCGCCTCTTGTTCCAAGCATCCTGTATTCCTCCAGCCCCCAGGTCAAACTTCCAAATGAGTAGTTTACATGTTAGGACTACGTTCAGCTTGCACTCAGCAGGAATAAAGGAGAAAGGAGGGCATGCCTTCTCCCTTAAAGAACACCACCTAGGGCTGCTGTTGTGGCATAGTGGGTTAAGCAGTGGCTTATGGCGCCAAGATCCCTGGTTGTATTCCAGCTTCCCCATTCCTAATCCAGCTCCCTGCTAATGGCCTGCAAAAGCAGCAGAAGATGGCCAAAGGGCTTGGGCTCCTGTACCCATGTGGGAGACCCAGAAGAAGCTCCTGGCTTCAGATATGCCCAACCCCACCCAGCTGTTGTGGCCATTTGGGGAGAGGACCAGCGGATGGAAGACCTCTCTCGCTCTCGCTCTCGCTCTAACTATGCCTTTCAAATAAATAAATTTTAAAAACAAAACAAAAGAACACTGCCTAAAACTCAAGCACATTATTTTGCTTCTGTTTTCTGAGAATTCAGTGCAATGACCACACCTGGCTGCTTCATTTTGCACAGGCATGCACCCAGTTAAAAATGGGGCTTTATGTTACTAATGGAGCACAGAAGAATGCTATCAAAGAGTACCTCCTTCGTGTCTCGTCTTGCTCAGAAGCTTTCATGGGCTTAAGAGCATGTTCCTCATCCTGACATTCAGGCCCCACCATGAGCTGACCTCCGCTCACTCTCCAGCTCGTGCCCTCCAGGCATGAAGCAAAAATAGGACTGTACTGCTCCCACGTTGTATATATATTTTTTTCTGGCCTCTCCATCCAGTTGCATTTCAGATACCATTTCCCTCCCATTGCCTTTGTGAATCACTTGCTACCCATAGCTTTTTGCACCATTCCTGTGCACCCCAGAGCTGTGTTGAGAGTTAGCTCTCTGTTGGGAGCGGGGAACTCCCTGGATGACTAACACTTTCCCTAGATATGATTGTGATGCTGAGTGGACAGCAGTGTTTGAGGACGCTCTATTCCATGCCCGGCGTAACTGACATTGAAGTAGCAAAAACCTCTGCTTAGGAAAGAGTTGTTCTCTGGGGGCCTCTTTCAGGACCTGGCTGCCTATAGCTGCTGTGTGAGGCAAACCATGAAACAAGCATCCTCTCCTAGCCTGTTGGGACAGTGATGATGCTACCATACCTTCGTGAAAGGCTCCCACTTTATCCCTTTTTTCTTAATTACTCTCCTTTCACTATTACATTTTTTCATTTTTTTTGTCTTGCATAATTTTACATGTTTCCTGCTTTTAGATATTTGGTGCCCCCACCTCCAAAATATGACCTATGTGTTCTTGCTGGGTTCTAGATGCATGCATACCAAGTCACAGAAATGCATTAAAAGTGATTTAATCTGACATCACTCCCCATAATCACCGCCTCCATCAAATGCTTGATTCTTGTCACAGATTGGAATACCATTCAGCAGGTGCTTCCTCCATTCTTCCTCCCACTTGCATAAGCTAGGGTTGGGCCACACTGAGGCCAGGAACCAGGAGCTTATTCACGGTCTCCCACATGGGTGCAGGGGCCCAAGCAATTGGGCCATCTGCTGCTGTTTTCCCAGGCCATTAGCAGGGAGCTGGATCAGAAGTGGAGCAGCTGGGACTTGAACCAGTGTCCATATGGGGTGCCAGTACTGCAGGCAGCAGTTTAACAATGCCAGTCCTGCCCTTGGACTTCTGCATACCTACAATACAGCATGCCTTGGGTAGATGCTGCCCCTTCAGGCCTGTAGCAGAAAAATCTTGACCACACCTTACTGCCTCACAGCCTGAAGAAGAGCATCCCCTCAACTCATGGACAAGTGAGAAAAACAGAGAGGTCTTCAAAAAGGTCATGGAAAAATATGTATCATTAAAAACTATGCATGCATTTAAAATTTTTCTTCAAAATAAACTTCTCTTTTAATTCAATTTTTAAAAAAGATTTTCTTTATTTTATTTGAAAGGCAGAGTTACAGAAAGAGAAGGTGAGACAGAGTGAGAGATCTTCCATCAGCTGGTTCACTCCCCAAATGGCCAGAAGGGCCAGGGCTGGGCCAGGCAGAAGCCAGGAGCCAGGAGCTTCCTCCAGTCTCCCATGTGGGTCCAGGGGCCCAGCGTCAAACCAGTGCTCATGTGGAATGCCGGTGTCACAGGCAGTGGCTTAACCCATTACTATAATGCCAGTCCTTAATTCCATTTTTGACAAATTTGTTGACATACCCTCATAAGTGCTTGTAGGAAACTCACAGAGTTTAGAGTCATGCATTAGGCTGCATTATTGTGGCACAGCTGAGTAATGCAAATACTCTCTCCCCCATCTGCTCCAATGACCTCTTCCTGAGTAACACGCCACCATCAGATAGGCTGGCATAAGACAACAACCACCGTCTGATGTTTGTGGTTATGTAGACCACAAGTTCACCCCACGGTCTTTGCATCTGCCCCATGATGACTCAAGTCCCACCTGGGGCTGGGGATGGCTGGGACCTGCTTAGTGGGTATCACACGCCTGTGGCCTTGGCTATAGCTTTCTACTAGAACTCTTGTTCTAGTAAACCCACATCATGTCAATCTTTCATTCATGTGACTGGTCCCTGGGCTAGTGTGGCTGCAACAGCTGGGACTGGCTAGGCCTCTCTGTGCATGTGTGTGTGTGCATGTGTATGTGTGTGTGTGTCTAGGTTGGGCTTACTCACCCATAGCAATTTCAAGGAGGTCAAACTTTTTACATAGAGGTTGACATCCCCCAGAGTGAATATCTTAAGGAATAGGAGAGGCTGCAGGACTTCTGACCTAGTCTCAGAAGTCCCAGAACATCACTTCTTTTACATTCTGATAGTCAAGAAAATCACTAATGGGGACTGCATTGTGGCGTAATGGGTTAAGCTGCCACCTACAATGCCAGCATCCCATATTCGAGTCTTAGCTGCTCCACTTCTGACCCAGATCCCTGCCAAAGCACCTGGGAAAGCAGTAGAAGATGGCCCAAGCCCTTGGGCCCCTGCACCCACGTGGGAGATCCAGAAGAAACTCCTGGTTCCTGGCTTTGGCCTGGCTTAGTCCTGGCCACTGTGGCCATTTGAGGAGTGAACCAGCAGATGGAAGACGTCTGTCTGTCTCTCTCTTTCTCTTTCTCTCTCTCACTCTCTTTCTCCCTGTGTAAATCTGGCTTTCAAATAAATAAAATCAATCTTTAAAAAAGAGAAAAGAAATGACTAAGCCCAGCCCCAAATCAAAGGAGAGGAATTAGACACCCCCTGCAGTGGAAGGTGTACCACGAACTCTCAGCTGTGTTTGACTCATGGTGGTATCCCTGCCTAAATGCTCACGCGGTGTGGGCCAGAGCAGAATACATAAATCACTAATTCCAGAAGGGCCAAAGCTCTGGTGACTGCACAATTCTATTAGAAAGCTCCTCTGGACAGTCTCCTTAATAAATGGTGCTGGGAAAACTGGATTGCCACATGTCCACATGCTGAAAAATGAAATTACACCCTCATTTCACACCATATACAAAACCAAGTGAAAATGGGTTAAAAGCTTTGATATAAGACCTGGAATTGGCCGGTGCCATGGCTCACTTGGCTAATCCTCTGCCTGTGGCACTAGCAACCCAGGTTCTAGTCTCAGTTGCTTCTCTGCCAGCCATAGCGGCCATTTTGGGGGGTGAACCAACGAAAGGAAGACCTTTCTCTCTGTCTCTCTCTCTCTCTCAGTCTAACTCTGCCTGTCAAAAAAAAAAAAAAAAGATCTGGAATTGTGAAACTCCTAGAATAAAACACAGGGGAGAGTTCCATGGCTTTGGCTAGGCAATGATTTTTTTTCAAACGTGATCCCAACAGCACAGGCAATGAAAGCAAATACAGACAAATGCAGTTACATCAAACTGGAAAATTTCTGCACAGCAAAGGAAGCAGCAGAGTGAGGAGACCGTCTGTGGAGTAGGAGAATATATTTGCAAACCATCCGTCACATCAGGGGTTAATATTTAAAATATGTAAGGAACTCAATAATAACAGAATAATCCAATTTAAAAATGAGCAAAGGAATTGAATAGGCATTTCTCAAAAGATGGAAATAACAGGTTTATGAAAAAGACGTCCAATGTCACTAACTGCCACATGGCTTGGGGGCTGGCACTGTGGTGTAGTGGGTAAAGCTGCTGCCTACAGTGCTGGCATCCCATATAGGCCCCAGTTCGAGTCCTGGCTGTTCCACTTCTGGCTCATTTTCAGGGAGCTGGATTAGAAATGGAGCAGCCAAGACTTGAACTGGCACCCATGTGGATGCTGGCAGTGCAGGCAGCGGCTTTACCCGCTAAGCCACACTGCCAGCCCTGGAGAACATTGTTAAATGAAATCATGGAAAGACAAATAGGATATGATCTTGCCTATATGTGGAATCTAAAACAGTGAAAATCACGGAAATAGAGTAAAATAGGGGCCAATGTTAGAGTATGGTGGGCTAAGGCACCACATGATGCCATCATCCCATTATCAGAGTGCAAGATCTAGCCCTGGCTGCTCTGCTTCAGATCCAGCTCCCTGCTAATGCGCCTGGGACAAGAACACGGCTCAACTACTGGGGCCCCTGCCACCCATGTGGGGGACCCTACCTCCTGTCTTCAGCCTGGCCCAAGACCTGGCTGTTGTGGCCATTTAGGGAGTGAACCAATGGTTAGAAAATCTCTTTCTGTCACTCTACCCTTCAAATAAATAAAATAAAATATTTTTAAGAAAAAAATGGAGTGAAATGTGGTTACCAGAGGCTGAGGGTGGGAAGACTGGGGAGATGTGGGCCAAAGGGCACAAGATTTCAGTTAGACCAGAGGAAGAATGCTAGAGAGCAATTGTGTATCTTGGTGATATAGTTCACGACAACATATCATATACTTGAAAATGGCCAGAAGAGCACATTTGAGGCAGGGCCGGGGAACGTCTGGCCTGCAGGCTGTACAAGGCCCACAAAATCACATGGTCCGACCCTGCCAAGGCAACCGCAGGCAGGACTCAAAATTCAGCAAATTTATAGCAGACTAATTTTGCAGGTGAAAATTTTGTGTGGCCTGCGAAGGATGTTGTAAATATCCACGTGGCCCCTGGCAACAAAAAGTTTCCCCACTGATTTACGGTTTTCTCACTACCAAAAAAATGATGATGCGAGGTTATACCTATTAAAGATACATTAATTTAACCTTGCCACATGGCGCACATATATCAGGACATCCTGTTGAACACCATAAATATACACACTTTTTATTTTTACTTTGGAATCATTTAATCTTTGTCTTTTCTTCATGTCATTATTAGATGACAGGCAGAGTGGACAGTGAGAGAGAGAGAGGAGGGAGAGAAAGGTCTTCCTTTATCGTTGGTTCACCCCACAATGGCCGCTGCGGCCAGCACACCACGCTGATCCGAAGGTAGGAGCCAGGTGCTTCTCCTGGTCTCCCATGGTGTGCAGAGCCCAGGGACTTGGGCCATCCCTTGGGGCAGCCGAAGGATGCAGTGGAAGAGGTAAGATGTTAACTCCTGCTGAGACTAGATGAGCATGTAGGTGTTTGCTGTTCTTGAACTTTTCCATATGTTTAAAATTACCAGATAGAATAAATGATGGGGGGAAAGGTCCCATGTTTGATTTTTCTGCACAGCAGTTGAGCAACCTTAGGGAAAAGGCATGTGTTACAGAAGCTTAGAGCTGGGAGAGGGCGTGTGGCTTAGAGCTGTGGCTCTCCATCATTTTCCATTGGGACAGACAGGATAAACAGCCCTCATTCACAGTGCCCACAGCCATGGGTAGGCCTGGGTGTAGATGTAATTCCTGGCTAGTGACTTGGAATGCGACAGATTTTCCTTACACTCAGGAAACAATGTTGGCATGGCAGTAAGTGGTGTCATCACAGAGGTAACTTTGAATTCATTCTAATTTATTTATTTTTTATTTAATTTTTAAAAGATGTATTTATTGATTTGAAAGGCAAAGTTATGGAGAGGCAGAGGCAGAGAGAGAGAGAGAGAGAGAGAGAGAGAGAGGTCTTCCATTTGCTGGTTCACTCCCCAAATGGCTGCACCAGCCAGGGCTGGGCTGATCCAAAGTCAGGAGCTAGGAGCTTCTTCCAGGTCTCCCACACGGGTGCAGGGGCCCAAGGACTTGGGCCATCTTCTACTGTTTTCCCAGGCCATAGCAGAGAGCTGGATCGGAAGTGGAGCAGCTGGGACATGAACTGGTGCCCATATGGGATGCTGGCACTGCAGACAGCAGCTTTACTTGCTATGCCATAGTGCCAGCCCCTCTAATTTATCTTTAAAACAATAATGTCCTAACTTCTGTACTTTTGTGTAGAAGGGACTTGAAAATTCACTCAGTCATTCTGATACACACAGAATATACAGATTCTTCACCATGTGAAACTGATCTAAGCTTTGTCTCCTCTGGGTCACTACACGAGGAGAAAATGGACCTTACCTCACCAGAGAAAATAATGGAATCCTTTCCAGTCGAAATGCCTCACATGGTTAACTCAGGCTTCTGGTAAATAGTCAGCATCTCACACTTCCTCTCCGTCAAAATGTGACTATAACATGATATGATTGTAGAAAACTGTAAGGGAAGCTACAATTTTTTAAAAATTGAGAGTGGTACTGTTAGGTAGGAAGTCAGTTATGAGCTTACGTGTGTGTGACATAAAGGCCTAAAGAGAAGACATCTATGTCCAGCATATGCATCTACATCTCAAAGTCATCCCGATAATGCTTCAGGGGCAGCCCAGTGTTTGCATCCTGCCCTGCCCCCTTCTACCTGATAACCTGCCAGGTGGAGGTTCCCACCCCTTCTCTCTGACAAATCTTCCACAATCTCCCAGATGCAGCCCAGTATCTGCATTTCAAACACCCTGCTCGGGATCCCCATTCTCTAGGGGGTCCTGCTCACCCTTCCTCTGAACCCAGGATGGCATCAGCTAGGCTTCCTCCTGTCTGATACCTTCAGGGGAAAACTCAGATAGGAGCTTCTTAATATTTACAGCCATAAAATCCTTTGTTTCAGGAGGAGATGTGTGAAGACAAAGACCCATCTCATTAAAAATCCCCGGTGGCCTCAACCGGACTGCGCGCTCAGCCCTCTGCCTCTCTGCTGAGCCACCCGCCTGGTCTGGCCAGGTGTACTCCGCTCAACCATGTAAGCTCGCTCCTTCTTGCTCCCTCCCAGTCCGAGCAACTGCACTCTTTCCCAGGTCCTGTCTGGAGAGGTGCCCATCCATCCTTACAGATGTCCCCTCCCTAATAAACCTTGCTATTTTACCTCCCACTACTCTCTGTCTCACGCCTGAATTCTTTCTTGCGCGAAGACAAGAACCCTCCAATTTCTCTGGTTACAATACTTCACTTATAAGAAAGCGTGTAGACTGTGGCAGATTGCAAGGGCAATTCTTCGCTGCTGCCTGTGTGCTACCCCCCCAGTACTTTTCAAGGCCTTCCATCGCTGAGTGTGGCTCAGTGGCATGATTCTCCTGGGCCCTGCATGCAGCTGCCCTTGCAAACAAAGGTTTGAAAATGGCTTACGCCTTGGGCTGTTCTTTCACATCTGAACTGTTGCCAGGAGGCTATGCCTGGGCTTGCTGCTGGAGAAGCAGAGAAGCATAGGGCACAGTCCCCAGTCATCACAGTGGCGCGCATCTTGCATTGAGTACCAGCCAGTCTACCCCCAGATATAGGGGTGGGCAGAGCTGTCTACCTTCCACTCCCCCACCCCAGCATGAGCAACAAGCAGTTATTGTCGTAGGCCATAGAGTCTTGTGGTTCTTTGGTACTATGTTGGTCCAAGTCCTCCAAGAAGCAGATGCCAAGATGGCGTTAAAATGTAAAGGATTGTGTTAGGGGAAATCCTTATGAGACATCATCTGGAGGGAGTTGTGGGATAGGAGAGCTGTCCGAAGGCAATGCAGGTCTGACCCTTAGTGAAGGAAAGAGAAGCAAGGCTGAGTGGAAAGGCCCTAGACGGTCATGCAATGGAATGAAGGTGCAGCAAAGCACCACTGGGGAACCTCGAGGCAAAACCAGCTGTCAGAAGAGTCTGGAGCCTCCTAGGGACCAACCGGTATACATTAGCATCTCCATTGTGCTCAGCAGCTGGCTGGGAGCAACCTGTGGGAAGCATGGCCTTGCACAAGCACAGCAGCAGACTTCACACTAATTGGTCAGTTAGACTAACAAATCTGCCCGCTGCTTTCTTATGGCTGTCGCAGCCACAGACGTTACTGTGCTTGGGACCTACCTGAGACAGGCACGGAAGCTGCTCACTAGAGAACAGCGACCCTTCGTATGGACGGTCCTGCCTCCTAGGGCACATTTGGGAAATATATGTTGAGGGCTACTTGGTATTTCTTGGCTGCTGCAATGACTGGCATTTATTGGGCCTGGGCCAGAGATGCTGGAAGTCTTGTAGTGTCTAGAACCATCCTGCACAACAGACCTTCCCCCGTCCTTCACGACTTCTGACGCCATACATGAAGTCCACAAGGGGATTCTCTTTTAAACCATCCAGGCTGAGAACCCAATTCTGTTTTACCTGGAAACTTCACAAATTGTTTGCTCAATCTGAATAGGCACCGATTTTCCAAGATCGTAATTGCTATGGACATAGGAGAGAGGTTTTTCTTTGCTTATTTCAGGCTGTACTAAGTGTTGGTTGCCCTTTTTTGGACTCATGCCAACAGGCAACACTGTTTGGTGTCTAATTCACCAGTACAGCACTCCTAGGACTGCATCTGTGGCAGTCATTGCCCTGTGCAGTGGACAAAGTTCTGACTTCCTCCCTTCCCCCGGTGATCGTTCCTATATGATTGCAGTGAAACACACATCATTTTATTAAGTGATTTTTTAATTTTATTTTTAAAATATTTTTTCATTTATTTGAAAGGCAGGGTTCCAGAGATGCAGAGGCAGACAGAGAAAGAGAGGTCTTCCATCTACTAGTTCACTCCCCAAATGGCAGCCACGGCCAGAGCTGGACAGATTTGAAGCCAGGAGCCAGTAACTTCGTCTGGGTCTTCCATGTGGGTGCAGGAGCCTAAGGGCTTGGGCCATCTTCTACTGCTTTCCCAGGCCATAGTGGAGAGCTGGATTGGAAGTGGAGTAGCTGGGACTCGAACAGATGCCCATATGGGCAGCTTTACCCACTATGTCACAGTGCTGGCCCCTTAACTGATTTTTAAAAATATTATGTAGTAGGTAGTCTTTATGACTTAGGAGTTTCATTTCAGGGTAAAGAAAGTACCAGGTCTGACCTGTTGAAGGACCACTTCTGTAGATAGAGTGTCAAAAAACTAGCTAAGTGTTATAAGAGAAATGTTCACCCACAGGTACACATGTACACAAGTACACCCAAATGTACACACCCATATCAGCATGACTCACAATAACCAAGAAGTGGAAGCAACCTGGGTCCAGTGACAGATGTGTGGAGGAACACAATGCGGTCCAGCTTGCTCACTGGATCTACGGGCTTTGATCCGCAGAGTCAACCAACTCCTGAAAATATTCAGGAGGAAAAGAAGTCACACTCCTTGTCATTAATCTCCAAACGGTATAGTATAATAACCATTTACACTGTGTTAGTATTATAAGTAATCCAGAGATTTAAAGTATGTTGGAGGATGCATATAGGATATATGAAAATACTACACCATTTTGTGTAAGAGACTTCAGCATCCATGGATTTTGTTATCATCAAGGGGTTTTGAAACCAATTCACCTCCACCATGAAGGGACAGCTGAATATATGGGGGTACTTGAGAAACTGTATGGAAATAATGGAACTAAAAGGCAAGTTAATTATGTACAAAAAAGCATTGAAACCCATACATGTAAGGGGTCTGCATAAAGCTTCTGGGGGCGGGCGTTTTGCCTAGTGGTTAAGACGCAGGCTGAGACACCCACCCCACGCTGTGGTGCCTGTGTTTCAGTCCCGGCTGCTATCCTGGTTCCAGCTTCCTCCTAACACTGTGGGAGGCAGCCATGGAAGACTGCATTGAGTTCCTGGCTCCCAGCTTCAGCCTGACCCAGCCCTGGCCACTGAAGGCATTTGGGAAATGAATCAGAGGATGGGAACTCTCTATGTGTCTGTCTCTGACTCTCAAATAATTAAAAATTCATTTTTTAATATTTATTTTATTTATTTGAAAGAGTTACAGAGAGAGGTAGAGAAAGAGAGAGAGAGAGAGAGAGAGAGAGGTCTTCCATCCACTGGCTCACTCCCCATTTGGCCACAATGGCTGGAGCTGTGCCGATCTGAACCCAGGAGCCAGGAGCTTTCTCCAGGTCTCCCACGTGAGTGCAGGGGCCCAAGGACTTGGGCCATCTTCTCCTGCTATCCCAGGCCACAGCAGAGAGCTGGATCGGAAGAGGAGCAGCCAGGACTAGAACTGGTGCCCAAATGGGATGCCGGCATTTTAGGCCAGGGCTTTAACCCGCTGTACCACAGTGCCAGCCCCATAATTTAAAATTTAAAATAAAAGTTCATGAAAATGCAAAGCATGAAAAAATTGCATAGATTTCAAATTTTTGTACCAAAATAAACCTTTCTTTGAATTCTATTTCTCATGAGTTTTTTGAAGTAGACCGGGCTCCCGGAGTCTGTGTGGTGACTCCATGCCTCTTGCTCCCACCACGCTCCTCCCCTCAGAACAAATCAACCTCTACATCTGGCGCGCCAATGTGACTGAGAGAAAGCGTGTCAGACTCGGCGAGGTCCCCCCTGGATTTCGGCAAGTAGGCCCCTCGGTGTTTTGTGTGCTGTTCAGTTCTGTGAGGGTGAGCACAGAACCCCCTCCTACACCCCTTTCCTTGTCCTTGTCCTCGGTCTAAGTGACCCCAGGTTAGGCACGCACCACCCAGAAGTGTAAGGCCGCTTCTCGGCTCCTCCTTTTACTTTTGGTTCACCCGGCGAATTCACATAAGGGACTGATCATCCCAGAATTCGGAACCAAGTCATCTTCCTGCACTCAAGAGAGGTGACGCTCCGGAGACAGCGTGTGGGCATACAGCCTCGACCTAACGAATCAAGGAAGTCCCCCGCTAAGCACAGGATGTACTTAGATCTGATACACCACTGTCTGTCTGTCTGTCTAACGTAGGCAACCCCCTGCAAAATGCCATCAGCTGCTGAGGTGCTAGGAATTTGCCTTGTTATATCAACAGTGCTGTGCGTGTCTTTCCTTAAAGTTGGCATGGCGTGCTGCTCTTAAACACTCAAACATGGGAAAGATACCCCCCTCTCAGAAACCCACACAGATTACCAAACATAAAGAATCTGTGAGTGATAAGAGCCTGTCACTCCAGGCGTCTGCCTCACAGGAAACAGTGGATGACTTAGGGGGAGAGAGCTCCGACAGCGAAAATGACATGACAGCAGACAACGTAGCAATGCCTAGTTAGCCACCCCCCAGATACCCGTGGGATAAACTTAGATGACCTCGAGGCAATAACCCACACAAGGTCATCCCATCCATACCCAGTGAGGATCCCCACCTTTGTGGCAGTCCCCAGGCACCCCAGGCTCTCAGGGCAGCCACTAGACCCCAGCCCACCTGCATGTTTGCCTTTAATCTCGAAGTGGACACAAAATTCAGGCCCTGGATTCCAATGCCCATAAAAAGGCTTCTGCTAATCAAGGGCCAAGGATATGCTTGTGTCTTTCCAGAGAATGCAGGACAGCCCATTTGGGCACATCCAGAAACATCAAGCCTCCAACTGACAGCCAACCAGAACCAGCTGAACAGACTGAGAGCCCACCTTGTTAGCAGACACACCTGTCCTTTCATCCTACCCTGAGAAACTGCCCATAGCCACATCTGTTACTGTTTTATACTCCACTTAGCTCTGGTCAGCCACTCAAATGGCCCACAGCCTGCGTGTGGTCATGCCATTCCTGATTACCATTGTTCCTCATTCCTACCCCCATCTGAGCAAGCACTCCTGTGGTCTCCTATTTTGAGTGCTGGTTAGTCAATGACGGGTAAGATCCCCTGGGGGACAACCTAAGCCAGGCACAGCCGCATACGGAGACCACATGGAAACGGGGTCAACAATGGTATGGCCAAGAATCATGCCTCCCGTTGCTCAAAAATAAACGAAAAGGAGGAAATGTGGTGGAATGAGAAGGCCATGCCAAGATGGCCACTGGCAACAGGCCGTGATTGGATGGCTTTGGAAACCACACGACAACAGATCCTGACTGACAACAGGCTGTGATTGGATGGCTTCAGAAACTGCCTGGCAACAGGGTGTGATTGGTTAGGGCATAGACCACCC